TTATTTAAGGCAGTTAGGTTGAAAGAACTAATGACTCTGACTTGAAGCTGTAAGATTTAAAATAACAAGGAGGCCAATTAAACTACAAAAATGGTCCCTCTGGAAGCCCCGCCAAGAAAAGTCAGGCCTAGCATTTAGGTCAAATTAATCTCTCCAGGCCTAACCTTGTTGAAAGGTGAAAATTTTTAGTTCCTGTAATTGAAAAATGACTTGTTTTTAAATCAAAAAGAAAAAAAGAAAAGAAAAAGAAAAGTGTGGCTGTAGCAAACACCTAAAACATGAATACATGGTAGAGGGCTTTTTCAAATAAGCTAAACAGCTAAATTCTCACAATGTTCAAATGTGTTCATATCCAGCAAGGCATCAGAGGAAAGAATGTACATTTTGGGATCAGAAGTTCTGAAAGTTAAGTCCAGCTCTGCAACTGAAGCTATCTGCATTGAAGCTGTCTACATGTGTCCACCAGTATTGGGTTAAATCTCTTGGGGCCTTGACTTCCTCAGTTAGTTTCTACTATCACCTAGGAAAAACAAAGCCAAAAATAGCAAACAGCGCAGCTAAGAAAAAGAGAACGGTGCTCCTGGGCCAGGTACTGGCCTCTGGTGGCACCAAGTATTGCAGCACGTTTCCTGATGGTTGGCTTGGTTCTTCTAATGTAAGTCAGTCTCATTGTGATATCTCAATTCTGTTCTGCGTTCTTCCACGTTCCAAAATAAAGATAAGAGTTCTGAAATTTCAGTCCAAGAATGTTCCTGAATTTTAAAAAAAGGGGGGGCTGGGTTTCTTTTCTAGAAAACAAAAGTAAGTAACTTCTGAACATATCAGGAAATGACAATTTCAGGGGAGCACCTTTCCTTGCTTAAAATCCATAGCTAAACTGATATAAACCAAAGTGTGAATTCTGAGTCTGAGCGGATTAAATTGGGTCCAACCCCCTTGGATCATTCCACTTCTAGCGTGCAGGCCCAGTGCCCCTAATTCTGAAAGCCCAGGCCCAAGGAGGGGGTGGTGTCTGTTCTAACCGAGAAAGAAGCAGAGCAGCAGAAAAGAGCTTGGCTCTGGGACCCGGTTGCCCAGATTTCCTCCTGGCTCTCCCACTGGCAGGATACTTGAAAACACTGTGCCTCTGTTTTCTCATCTGTAAAATGGGGACAGTAACAGTAGCACACAAATCTGATCTCTTTGGGCTAATGTGAGGATTACATGAGTTGAGCCATACAAAAGGCTTATAAGATTGTGGGCATGTGGCACAGAGTTGGTAAATGCCAGCGACTGGCACTGAAGCATCGTCTTCCTGAGCTGGCTTCCTGAGCCCCGGCTCAGTGTCGAAACTCCCACTTGTGAATGTCCCTCCCTGGTTGCAGTATGTCGGCTCTTCTAAGCAGTTATGGCAGCGCACCTATAAAAACACTCACTTCTCCTTGAAAATAGTTTTCTAGGTGCTGAGTAGCTAGATACGGAAAACCTTTGAACAACATGGCCTAATCCTTAAGCACTGCAGAGTTTTGGGGATTTGGAAGACTCCTTTTCTGTCTTATCTAAAAATTCCATTCAACCAAGCGATAGTTGTAGGACTCAAACAAAACAATAGAGGTAAAAACAGATCTTTTCATGGGCAACACCATTGGAGACCAGGCTTCGGGGCTGTGGGCTGAATGAGCTTGCTAATGCTTCACCCCCATTTGAGAGACCACCAGCCAGAGGCACCGAAACCTCTAAATCAGCCTGGCCCTCCCACGAACCCACCAAAGGGTCTGCTCCTGTAAAATCTACAGCATAGAAAAGCAGGGCACAGGGTATTCTCCGGACACAGGAAGAGCCCAAAGAGAAAGGTGAGGGAGGAGTTTTAAGTCAGGCACACCACTCCCTGCCCCCACCTCCACCCACCAATCAGACTTCTTCCTGAGACAGGGGAATACGCAAGGGGACAAGACACTCACAGTGCTACTTTGGTGCTATCCCTCTAAATGAAAACGGGAGAAACGTAAGCATCTCACCGCATCGTGTAACCACAATAAAAGGCTACATGTGCCATATCCAGCATGGTGACCACAAGTCACATGTCTTCATTCAAACTTAGGTAAACTAAAATTCAAAATTCAGTTCCTCCGCTGCACCAGGTGCATTTCATGTGCTCAGTTACCACACGGGCAGCTGGGTATGACATCGGGTGGCACAAATACAGAATCTTGGTTCAGCTCAAAAAAATTCTGTTGGACAGCCCTGGAACTTAATGGGAATCTGTCTGGATGTGTGATTCATATTTAAACCAGTGTTAATGATCCACTCCTACAGAACTGATTTTTTGGGACACAGACTTGACTGCTGCTTTTCTGAACTCACGCCCCCCACCAGAGTTTGATAAATGAAGATACCGGGGCACAGAGCACTGGTGGACAGGTGAGGCTCCGCTAACATTCACTCCCAGTACAGCATTCCATGGGGCTCTTATTTTTAACTTTTGGGTTTTTGTTCCGGTTTGTTTGATCCTTATTTTTTTTTTTGGTGCATGTTTACAGTATATACTGATCGCATCCATTGTGAGGAGTGGCTACATGCACATAACACAGCTTAATTCTCTCTACTTCCCCTTTCCTCCCTCTCCCTCTTTCTTCCATGTTCTTGGTCCTCTTTGCATTTGCAAAAGATGTCCCTGTTTCCTGTTAACTATCTTTTCTTTTGTTTCTTAATTTATTTATACTTTGACTTTCTCATGTAAGAGGAATGATGTGTTTGTTTAAGCTTGTGTGGCTAACTTATTTCACTTGACATTATAGTCTCAAGGTGCATCCATTTTTCTACAAACAACTTGAATGTATCCTTCTTTATGACAGAGTAGTACTCCATTGTGTGTAAATACATTTTCTCTGCCCATTCATCCATTGATAGACATTTAGGCCCTTTCAAGACTTAGTTATTATGAACTGTGCTGCTATAAACATGAATGTTTGTATATTTCTGTAATATGATGCCTTTCACTCTTTCAGGAAGATACCTACAAGAGGAATAACCGGGTCAAGTGGAATTTCTATTTTTAGTTTTTTGAGGAATACTAATACTGATTTCTCCAAGGGGCTCTTAAGGTACTTTATTTTTGTGGAAAACCTGAAACAGAAACATGTCCAGCATTGCCCCTGAAACACTCAATTCCAAATAAAACTGTATGACAGTTTTATTTTTAAAACTGTATGACATATTGTCACTTATACTATATTTCCTCTAGCACCATTTAGAATAAAACAGTGGCCAAAGGTATTTGAATATGCCCCCCACAAGAAAGTTAAGTGTATAAATTTAGAAGCACCAAAACTTTCATTGTAATCGTCCTATAATAATTTTCATGTGAGTAGAACTAAAATAAGTTCTCTGTAGCACTTTCTTCTTAAAGAATAAGTTCTGAACATGGGTATGTGATTTTGACTTAATCATGAAGATCTCTTTATCCCATTAATACAGAACACCCGAATTGTGAAAATTTGTATTCAATTTTCTTTTTTTGCTGCCTTCTTTCTTACAAGACTGACATTTATTCATTCAAACAGCATTTACTGAACACCCCCGTGACCCCGCAGGGCACTAAACGTTACAGACCAAGCAAATCAATGTGCGCTTCACCTCCCAGGGTCTTGTGGTTGGGGCTCAGCTCAAATACAGAACCCCAGAGGGTGAGAGCTGCAAGGGAGACCAGGCAGCACCCAGACCGGACACAGAAAGAAACCCAGGCAAAGAAGGCAACGTGTTCGCCGCGGCCACTGAGGGGGCAGTGCCCTAACCCATCTGCCTCTATCCCCTCACCCCCCAAGGCATGTTCTCACAGTGCCACCTCCTAGTGCAGAGTTCTTAATCTGTAAGGAGCTGGAAAGCTTGTTGGATGGGTAATTTAAATTGCTTAAAATGAAAGTAAGTAGCTCACGGGGAACACCTCGCAAACTGTCCTACATACAAGGAGCCCAAGCCATGGTGCAGGAGCATAGACGCTTCTGCTTCAGCTGCCGCAGCCTCTTTCTGCTTATTCTTGGTTCGCAGCTATTTCCCGGAGCACTGAGGTTGCCAGGGAAAGAAGCATTCCTCGCCTGCAGGTGGGACCCCTTTCGAATGCCTGTTCCCGAGTGGCTGGATCTCGCGGGCTGGATCGCGTGGGCTCCTCCCCAGAAATCAGTGAGCAGAGAGCTCAGGACAGAAGGGGCTTTGGAAGTGCATGTGGAAGATTCTTAACTGGTTTTTTGTTCCTGTAAATGAATCTTGGGGCCATCATTTTTTCCCTGTCACAAAATGTCTCAGATTTAATGAAGAGCACTTGATTCACAAAACTACATTCAGCACAAAAATTTCCATAAGTAATCTAATATATATTTGACATAAACTCTATAATCATTTGAATTTTTAGCCTCTGATCTGCATAGCTTTTGTTCCCCTAAATTTAGTTTAAACTACAGTCAGTTGCATACATTTCATTGATCAAACTGAATTTTTATTAAAGAATTTGTAACATCAGTAGCTTGAAAATAGATATTATAGTGCATTTGATATGCAAAGCAGGACTTATTTGTATTTATTAATTTGGCACAATCAATAAACATTTCTGATTATTCAGAATAGAACATAGTTTCTGCAGCTTATGATTTTTCTGATTACTGCAAAATTGATAGTACTAATTACTGTGTTAAGGAATAGTATTCAAAATACTTGAAAATGGCCTTTTTAAGGTGCTCAGAGGCATTTTTAAAACTCTATGTACACGAAATGATTGACACCCTAATTTAAAATTGCATCAGTCTATGTAAAAGGCCCCTAAGGAAATAAAGTGATAATTACCCAGTCTCGTGTGATTTACCATGCTATTGAAAACCTAAGTTCATATGTCTTTCAAAACAGTTTAAAATCGAGACTTTGCACTAAAATACACTACTGTCCCCTTGTGACTTACTCTAGATAAGCATGAATTTGCTAAATTTGCCAGTGTAAATAATACATTGTACCTGATATTTTAATCTGAGATAAATTGTATAAGCAATATCAAATACTCACAGCAACAAATTGGTTATTTTCTAGTTTAATGATGTCTCCCACTTTGACATTCATCCATTTTTCATTCTGCAGTCTGAGAAGAAAGGCAAAATTAAATTTCTTCAAGAATGGGGAAGAGCCAAACATGTAACCAAGGAAATGGATCTATATTCATCATGTGACATCGCACCATACAGAAAGCGGGTAAGATGGCGCTAGGATGTTAAGTTCCTTCCTAACAAAGTTCTTTCCCACAGCAGCCTGAGAACGAAGGCTGAGAGAGTTAAAGGATTTGCCCAACGGGACCCAGTGAGCTAATGACACCTTTGGGTGAAACTCTAAATGCCCGCCTCTCGGATGAGTGGTATTTTTCACTGCCCCACAATGCCAGCTTACGCAATAGCTATGACCTTCCATCAGTTCAGCTACTGATATTCTTTTCAAGTTCTTTATAATAAGGCAGAAATATCCCTGTCACTGTCTCAGGCAAAAACTGAATGAGAAGACAGTTACAAGGTGGGGCAGTGCAGGGTGACAGCTGAAATGCAAGTAAAAGGGGGAAAGTTAAAATTTTGGAGAGAACAAGAACAAGAAAATTTTGGAGAGGGCAAGAAGAGAGACCCCAAAGGACCACAAATGAACCATCCCCAGCACTGCGGCAGGAGGAAGGCTCAGTGGCTCAGAATAGACAATGGCAAAGCGACAGTCCGTTCAGCTCTCTTTGAAGTCCAGAGATATGACGGAGTCCCAGACTCAGAGCCCCAAGTTCAAAGGGGTTTATGATGCAAAGCGATCGTGTCCACTAGATCCACAGGCCCTGTGGAAACGGGCCACCTGCGGCAGGATAATGTGATGTCAGTGGTCCCTTCTGAAACTTCCTGAAATGGAAACCGGCCTCCTTTTCCAAGTTGGAAGCCTTTGTCACGCTTCTTTCTCGGAGATTCCTGCTTAGAAGAGCAGGCGGGGATGGGTGGATTAGAAGGGAAGCCAAGGGTGTGCAGGGCAGGCTCCCCGATATGTTAAGGTGAGCAGGTTAATTTCACTGTGCTGGGTTTTTTTCAAAAATAACCTAATTTACTTTGCTTTATAGCCTGGAAAACAGTTTTAAATATTTATACAACTGTGAAATATGCCTCACACTATCAACCCTGCTGGGTCATTTGGCTTAAACACTCAAAGAATTTTTCTTTAATACAGATCCAAGTACATGTTGTTCTGGAAAATTTTCAATGGCAGCATTTTCATCCCAAGCCAGAATTCAATCACATTTCCAAGCCTTGCTTTTCTGGGCTTTATCTAACTCGATGACAACAGGAGAAGCTAGGAATCCTTGAAACCTCATTTTGTTTATCTTTACAGGTATGGATGTTGTACTGGTTTTTTCTCCTGGGGATCTGTCTCTTTGACCATTGGAGACATTTCTCAGGGGACAATCTATGCAAAATAGGACACGTGGATGGGTGGGGAGGGTGCTGGGTCTTATTTATGGAAATCACACTGCTACTGAAGTCTCTTAAGAAGCTGAGATGATCCCTCCCACTGGGGCGCTATAAGTGTGGGGAGGACGGCACCAGAAACAGCAAGTGATAGTTCCTCGATGATAACGAAGAGCCTTGCACAACCCAACTGCTTCACCAATAACCTACGCCAGGGCCACACAGACACGTGTCAGGCTGTGGGCAGAACCCTAACGGGAAGCAGCACAAGCCTTACAAAGTGAGTCCACAGCAGAAGGCCATCTTACAACTTGACAAAGATGCAGAAATTGGATGAAGGGCAAGAAAAGTACAAAAGAGATTATTTTAGAAAGGGGAAAGTAACCCTCTTCAACATGTAATTCGAGTTATACAGAAAAATGGGTGGAGATATTGATCTGACACAGCCTATGGGACAGGTCTCTGTTAACCCCTTATTTGAATGTATACCTGTGTACAATACAATACACTCAGAACCTGCAGTGATATTTCAGGTTCTACCTCACTAGATGTATATAATTGCAGTCAGCTAGGAACTCAGAGGCGCGTGTAATGAACACTAGACGTCAGCAGTACCTAACCTTACAACACGCGGAAACTAATGCAGCCCTGCAAACGAGCTTCAACCATCTCTATTCTGAAAGCAATCATTTCTCTTGCCCTATCCACTACCACTGACAAGGAAAAACATCAAAGACACCCCAGCAGGATGAGACAGGAAGATTTGCGTTAGAGCTCATCTTCAAAATATTTCTGGGCTTTTCAGATTTTAACTTGTGTAGTGATTGGGCTTCGTCATCAGCTTGAAACAATGAAAACAGACACGCCCTGGTGCCCCATGTGCTGCGCAGATGTTTGGAGGTTCCAGTCTGAAGCAGTCCACACATCAGCCCAGCTCTGCCAGGACACAAGGTGGCCTCCTGGGCTGTGAAAGGCGACACATGGCCCCAAGGACTCAGCACTTTCAAGCTTTGCTTTCACCTTTGTCAGGGAAATTCAGATGAATATTCTACCAGCAAGTTCATTCATTAATTGCGCTGAAATTTCAAGATTTTAAAATGTGACTCAATTTTCAGTATTGTAATAGAATGACTGCATGTTATGCAACAGATATAATCTAGTTAGTGCTTCTTTGAAGCAGATTTTTCAAAACTAGATGGGATAATAAGATAGCTTTACCTTAGTGAATCCACAAGCCAGTTGGTAAAGAAGCCAAAATTCAAGAAAAAATTTCATAACATGGACCTTCCAGAGGCACCATAAAGCATGTGGACTCAAACTGCCATGGAATGACAAACTGTCTCAATTCAGCCACTGACATATGCATCTACTCTTCAGAACCTCAGAGTCTGAGACCCAAGGAAAAGAGGAATGGTCACAACTAACCTTAATGATTGCTGAGGAATCCATCTGAACCTGCTTTGTCCTGGTGAGGCAGGGGCAGTACGAGCTCTGGGCCTAGAGGAAAACCTCCTAGAGATAAGGCAAGGCTAGAGTTGGGCTCATACCTGTAATCCCAGCACTCAGGAGGCTGAGACAGGAAGATCACTGCAAGTTGGAGGTCAGTCTATAGAATGCATTCAAGGCCAGTCTAAATTACATAGTGAGACCTTGTCTCAGAAAGAGACAGACAGACAGAGAGAGAGAGAGGGACAGAGAGACAGAGAGCAGAAAGAGAGACAGACACCAGGGGAGAGAGACTGATAGATTGATAGATTGGTTGACTGATTGATTGATTGATTGGTTGAGAATTCAAGTCCAGGAGTGGGCTAGCATCTATGGTCTACATCTTGGACAGTGGCTCTAGAGGTTGCCTTGAACAAGATGCCACACCCAAGGATAGATGGGGGGACATTCAGCAGGCTCCTCAAGACTCCTGTCATCCTTCCCATACTCCATTGCTCCTGACTTCCTGTTAGCAACACAAATTCCTGAAAAAGGATTTCCTGAAAAGCCACAGCACAAGTATTAGAGCCCTGGAGACCAAACAAGGTGCGACTGCCTCCTGCTCGGCATGCAGCCCCCCCACACAAAGCTCAGCATCCTCTTTAATCTCAGCCACATGTCAGCGCTGAGAATGATGGAAGCCCTCTTGGCCCAGACAGCACCTTTGGTTCTCTACTGCTTCCTCAGCACTTAGCATAATGCCCAGCTCACAGTAGCTGCTCAATAAATATTTATTGAATAATAGATAAATCAAGAAACATATAATACATTCTTTCTGAAAACATTTGCTAATTAATAGCATTTTCCTAATTTCCTAGCAAGAGTTATAGCAGACAACACTTATTCAGTGCATACTGCTTCCCAGGGACTGGACTAATCCTTTCAGGTATAGAGTTGCAAATAAAAAATAAATAATGCTCCACTGAATTTGTATTTCAGAGAAACAAGAACTTATTTCAGTATAGGAGTGCCCCATGCAACACTTAAGATGCACTTATACTAAAAGATAATTATTGTTTATCGGTTATTTGAATATAACTGGAGTCTCATATTTAAATTTGGTATATCTAACAACACTGTACGTGTATCTTATCTCACAATGATCCTATGAGATAGGTACTGTTTCCACCCTCATTTTACAGATTAGAACCCTGAGTTTCTGGGAAATTTATGCTATTTTGCAATATCCATAAAAAAGTCAATGTCCACCCAGTTAGATATAGATATTCTACTTTAAAGAACTGGTTATACATGTGTTTAAACATGCACATACGAGGATGTTTATTGCAGCATTGGTGATAACAATCCATTGGACACCACTAAAAGGAAACCACTTAACATTAGATAGCTATACCAGGGAACACATTCATTCGTGGTTCACCTACTGGGTGGACTATAATGCAGCCACAAAAAAGAACAAGATGGTACCGATATGAAATGTGTTCTAAATGATACTTTTAGGTGAAAAAGAACCACAGAAGAACATTACATATGCACAGCAAGATTCATTCTTGAAACATGAGTGTATACGACTACACATAGACACGACTTTCCATGCATGGAAAATTTCCTGAGAGACACACAAGAAACCGTTGAGTGGCTGTAGTTAGAGAAAGGAAATGCAGTGGGCACTGAGAGGGAAGAGGCTTCGCTTCCACTGCAGACTCTTCTGTGCTGTTTGATTTTTCTGTATTATACAATAGGCCTTTTAAAGGCCAACTTGGGAGAGAAATAAAGAAATGAAAGCTTTTCCTTTAGGTCACATGTGAATGGCAGGACTGGGACTGGAACCCACGTCTGTCTGCCTACAAAGCCCATGTTCCCAATAAATCTATATTTATTGTTCTTCTTGCTTTATTTCTATGGTAATTGTCTGCTGCTGTTTCGAAAGAGAACAGCCCCTAAGGAGCATGAGAGGTTTGATGGTGGCCACAGTACACGCTTGCAGACTTTAAAGCCAGCCGGGCCAAAGACAGCTCGCAGCCAGACCCCGACATGAACGCCCTGGAGAGCAGCTTTCTGGTTCTCTTCAGGCCCGGCACTGTCAGAGCTGCGCCTGGGAAAAACCTACAGCTCGGCCCCCACCCCTCCTGACAGGCTGGTGAGTGGATCTCAGGACACGGAGGAGGAACATGATGCAGTGCGCTGAGCCAGCATCGCATGGGGGGCCATG